AAAAAAAAAAAAAAAATCAGAACGGTCAAATGATTTTTTTTTCACTTCACAATACCACAATTTTTTTCGCTTGTAGCCTGCAGCTGCGCCTGCTGCTAAACGTTTTAAATTTTTATTTTATTATTATTATTTTTTTACCGTGCCAGCTGTTAACCGCTGGCCCGTCTCACCTTGAACCGGCCCGGACCGGTTCAAGGAGCGGGAGGCCCACGATTCAGCCCACACAATTCGTGGGCCGAATCACGGGTTAGTTCGCCTACGGGCGGGACTGGGCGGCCCGCACATCTTTACATGACTAGTTGTACAGGGGGTACATATTAAGTAGCCGACCATCGTGGATAATTATTAACACCATCTTATATCACTAGCCCATCTACCTCTTGTCAACGTCTATAGATATGGGGTAGCCTCGCCATGCCGGTTAATTAATAACTGATTTTTTTTTATTAAATGAGTGTCGACATTTGACGTAAATGAGTCGATTAGTCCAATTGTCATAGAGTAGCAAAACACTGTACAAATGACACTCCACAATTGGGTTTTAGTTTTGGAGGGAAATTTCCCTCCAAAGAATTTAAATTATGAAATTCAAATTCCACCTCTATTTAAAGAGGTAAATGATTCATTTTTACTCCACTTTGCAAAACTCTCTTTCCTCTAATTCTCAAGGTAACTCTTTCATCTCATCTTCCTAGTTTTTTCTTTATTTCCTATCATTTTGGTTTTCTCCATCTTTCGTGTATAAAACCTCCATATTTTCTTCATCTGATGAGAGCGATGGTGAGGGAGTGTATAAATCGGTCGACCCACCGTCGGATGGGTTGGTCGAGGCCAATATCGGCCTCACCAGTAGACAAAAGTCGACCATGAGGCCGGCTGACCACTGGTCGAACGCCGACCAGCAAGGCTGGTAGACAATCGATCAGTGTTTGCTACTTGTAAAATGAGGTCGGGGCTTCTCCCCCTGTTATACCTTTGGCGTGAGAATTAGTGTTCAGTTTAAGAGAGTAAGAAAAGAATATATTGGAATTCAAATAGTTCGGGTTTCAAGAAGCAAACCTTTTCTCACCTTGGGGATATTTATGGGCACCTGATGGCACGCCCCTGTTCTATGATTAATCGTGACACGTGTCCCACGTAAGCCTTCCCACTTCCTCCACGTTCTAACGTGGTGACCCTCACTTGTCAAGTGGTTGGTTATGCCCATGTTTGTTGTTGGGTGGTTTCCGTCCAACTCATTGCTATTTGTATGGTTAAGTATAGTATTGGCCGCATTGTGGTAGGCCCTGTGTGAACGTAGAGGGCCTCATGGGAGTCGACGATCTCATTGTGGTAGACGGTCCTGTGTGAATGTAGAGGGTCTCATGGGGTCAACGACCACATAGTGGTAGACGACTTATGAGAACGTAGGAGGCCTCATGGAGGTCAACGGCCTCATAGTAGTAAACGGCCTATGATATGGTGTTGTATGGGGGGTGCATATTAAGTTGTCGGTCATCGTGAATAATTATTAACACCATCTTATATCAATAATATTATTCAAAAACATGTTCTATGAGTTCCTTAAACAACACTTGTTTTTCAATTTCATGTTGAATAAATTGAAATAACGCAGTTAATAACAATATCCATTTTTTAATTTCATTTTGAAGTAATGCTATTAATCAAATTTATTATTATTATTTTTAATATCAAAAGGGGAATTTAAGGCCATCATTTGTGTTTCTTACAAAAAAAAAAAACCCCCCATTTTTCAATTTCATGTAGAATTAATTGAATTAATGCTATTAAAAACTACATCCGTTTCTCAATTTCATTTTGAATTAATGCTGTTAATCAAATTAAAAGAATTTTTTTTTTTTTAGTCTCAAAAGGAGAATTCAAGGCCCTCATTTGAGTTCCTTAAACTACACATTTTTCAATTTCATGTTGAATAAATAAGATGGAATTTTATTTTTTAAGGGAAATTTAAGGCCATCCTTTGACTTCCATAAACAACACCTTTTTTCAATTTTATGTTGAATAAATTGAATTAATGTTGTTAATAAGAATTAATGTAATAGTAAAAAGATAAATTTATGAAATTATTGACAAACTAAAAAGATAATGGATTTTTTTAATTTCGCGTTGAATAAATGGAATTAATATTATTAATATAAACTTTTACAAACATTATATTGACGATAGTCACTTTTACTTCTATTCACTTTTTTTTTCCCCCCTTTTCTTCTCTCTCGTGGTGTAGTTTTTGTAATTTGATTGGCTATATGACAAAATGGATTGCGTATGCTCACCTCAACTTGGCGATGGAATAGACTTCAAAGTATTTAACTACTCCAATTTACAAGAATGCATTTGACATTAATGAAAGTCACATTTGAACAAATTATTTGCTCATCATCAGAGCTTAGCTTGGAATAGCAGCCACCAATTGCCGTCAATCAATTCATCCTTCCCACTTGTGCCGTCTATCCAACAATTGATGCAGACTCTCTAACCGGCCTTTTTTTCTCACTTCTATTTTTTATTTTTATTTTTTTAACAACAATACAATGCAAAGGCAACTTTGATATGAAAAGGGTATTTTTAGGATGAGTTATTTATTTATAAATATGAAAAAAATACAAACTTTTGAAATAGGCATACTACCTTATAAAGAATAAAGACAATTTTGACAGGTCTAGTATTTGCTAGAGTAGAAAAGAAAGAAATCCTTATATAAAATTTTGTATGTTCGTTATATTCTTAGTCATCACGCATAGTCATATGAATATTTTCTTAGTGAGTGATGAATTTTATATATTTTCAATTTCTATTTCTAATAATGATGTGTAATTTTTTTTTTTTTAACGTATTAGCCCGGTCTGTAATTAGGTTCTGGATCCGTCCGTGTATCCCCCCCGTCCGTCCCTTGATGTGTAGCGACAATCTTGACACTCAAATAATAGTTCATCTTAACTTGAACTAATATTTCTGTTGATAATAGGTACGATTATGATCCATCAATTAATGACATAAATATCAAATTCATGCTTCGCACAAGTGGTACTAAATCTATGTTTGAGTCCCATTTTTTCGTTGAAAATGAGTTTTATAATAATGAAGTTTTTAAAAATGTACGAAAAAAATTTGGTTTAATTGCAAAATATTTTATCAACATAATGTATGATTTAAAATGAATTTGAGTAAATTACATTACTGTTCGATTTCATAGTACCATGGAGATGGTGCATTGCAATTTTCAAGAAGAAAAAGCAATTTAAATAATGATGCAATAATTTTCTCCTTTGTAGTACAATGGGGCCCTAAGGGAGACACAAATGTCGAAATATGCTAAGAAGGTGGCTTGTATACGACAATTGTACTAATCAGCTTAACTTCAAGTTAAGAGCAACACTCCAAGTAAAAACAAGATTAAAGTATAAGCCAAATGTAGAAAGGGGACTTGTTAATTCATCAAAAACCTCTCACTTTGGGGAGGCTCGAGAATAAATTTAGAAAACGAGACGACAAATGCAGTCCAAAAGACAGAGAATAAAGCCATCCCAATCTTAATCCTATAATAATTTCACCTCTTTGCCATTTGGGCAGATGGGCTGTCCCTTTTGTCCCTTCTGACTCATAAATCTACCATTTCTTTTTCTTGTTTCCTTCTCCCCCCTGTACAATTCCAAAGTCTCAAAATTGTGCTTCATTTTTGCTCAACTTTGGTGTTTAAATTTAGAAAAACAATGTCGTCGAGGGCTCGAAGAAAACAGATATGGTGTGTGCAACCTCTTACTCCTTTAATGGAAGGGCCAGATTTTAGCATGCAGAATCAAGAAGGAAGCAAAAAAGAGAGTTCTTGGGAAGTCATTAGAGAATGGTTTCGTGCACAAAAAAATGTACCCGGAAGCAATAACTTCTCTATGTCTGTTTATGGGAACAATATTAATCTAGCCAAGAGGCAAGATTTTAGGCTTTTGCTTGGTGTTTTGGGTTGTCCACTTGCCCCTATTCCTATATCAAACAACCCAATTTCCCATCTTCACATTAAGAACATTCCCATTGTGAGTTTCCCACTTAATTTCTACTTAATTATGCAATTAATTAGCTTAAAGATTCACTCTTCACTCACTTTTCTTGATGTTTAATTTAGGAGACATCAGCAGCAAATTACATAATTCAACAGTACTTGGCTGCAACGGGGTGCTCAAAGCAACATAATTGTGCAAAAAACATGTACACCTCGGGTGTGGTGAAAATGATCTGTTGTGAAACAGAAATTTCATCAGGGAAAAGCGTGAGGACTTTGGGGTCTAGGATTGGAGAAAATGGGTGTTTTGTTTTATGGCAAATGTCGCCGGGAATGTGGTCACTGGAATTGGCCGTCGGCGGTAATAAAGTCCTCGCCGGCAGCGATGGGAAAACTGTATGGAGACACACCTCTTGGCTTGGCACTCATGCTGCTAAAGGCCCTCAACGCCCTTTACGACGTATCATTCAGGTGCATTTCAATTATCTTTTAACCTACAAGTCGAATCATAACTTCGCAATGAATTATATAATTAGATTCATTACATTTCGTCCTCCTTTTAAAATGTATTCATGTCAATCTACCTAGTCATTTTTCGAGTTGAGATCTGCCGTCAAAAATTAACTGTCCAACTTGCTTTCTTCTCATTGACACATCACTTTAAATTGACATGTCCAACATTTTTCTCACTGTCACTTGTGCTTAAAAATAGGTATAAAATGATATGTCAATGAATCATTGGTGACAACAAGTTGGACAGCCATGAACATCATCTTTCCCATCCGGTCGCCATGAACATCATCTTTTAAAGAGTGCATGTTTTGATATCAATAGCTGCAGTCGTCTTGACTAGAACCCACAATACAAGTCAAGCCTTAATTTAGTGATTCAATACGAATTCGGCTTCATATTATAGGAGTTGAGAGAATGTTTTTCACATTGTCTACCTATTATATTTTTCCTTCTTTTCTCGGATTTGAACCGTTTACGTCTAAATATAGAATATCTATGTTACTTTATTCTCCTTATACTATATCAAAGTGCTTTAACTAAGGTATAAACCGGTTTAAAGTGTGTGATACACTTGAAAAAGAGAGACTACCAAACAAGATTAGAGGCACTTTCTTGAAATTAACAAACAAGATTTTTGCGATTGGCTGACAAAGATATAGAAACCGACAGTGACCCTTTCTTTACCCAACACTTATCTTTGAACGCACTCACAATTTAAGAAGACACATCACGTGATTCCTATATTTCATCTTCTTGGGATTGCCATCTATTTGTATTAAAGTGCTTCTAATCTACTGTTTTTTTGCTTTACATCTTTCTCTTTGTTGAAACCCTTGCTTTTGCCTTATATTTTTCCCCTTTTAAAAATATATTTTACCTGCAAATGAAACCTTTGCTAAAGAGATCAAATTGCTTGGCAATTCTTGGATCCACTAGTTTTTAAATCTAGAGCATTTATACTTTAGCCACATACGTTTAAGAAAACGTGTGGGCGCTGCAGATGCCTTTCTCGAATTTCGAATAATTGCATATGACAGTAGATGATTGGATTTAAAAAATTGACTATATTTTAAACTGTCTAATAATATAATGTTACGTGGTATTATGTCAAGTTTTATAACAACATTGATGTTCATGTTACCTGATCGATTTTGTTAGAGACTTTGGAAGTAGACCTTGTCTAATATGACTAGTAGTGATTATGTTTGGTACATTGGACTAGACTTAATGATCCAGTGCACAACCTTAGAACATTAAAATGCAGATATAGGAGATACAGATTGTGAGTGGTCTGGTAATGCCATGTGATCATTTAGGAACTAGTTTGCACTAAATTAATTATTCGAATAAAACACGAATGCAGGGGCTTGATCCGAGAAGCACTGCACGCTTATTTGAGAAAGCACAATGCTTAGGGGAGAAACGCATAGGAGAAGACGACTGCTTCGTCCTAAAAGTGGCGGCCGATCGGGCTGCGGTGATAGAAAGAAACGAAGGACCAGCCGAAGTGATCCGACATGTATTGTACGGTTACTTCAGCCAGAAAAGTGGGCTTCTCATTTACATGGAGGATTCTCATCTAACCAGAGTCCAGACTCCTGATAACGGCACTGTTTATTGGGAGACCACCATAGGGAGCACCATTGGTGATTATGTGGACGTCGATGGAGTACTAATTGCTCATCAGGGAAGGACTATTGCCACTGTTTTCCGATTTGGGGAGACGTCGATTGAGCACAATAGGACTCGAATGGAGGAAGAGTGGAGGATTCACGACGTTGTTTTTAACGTGCCCGGATTGTCAATGGACTCATTCATTCCTCCAGCTGATATCTCTGATGCCGAGAATGCAAATACAGTATCCCCATGAGTAATCAAGCATCCTGAGAATATTCCATCTCTGTATTTTCCATTTTTCTGTATTGTCATTGGGAAAAACGGTTATATATTTTAAGTTCTAGACTTTTAGTAATTCTGATCATACACTCTATCCCCTGTACTAATTTCTAACTATGTAATCTCCATCTGAATTAATCGAAAACAGTATAAATTACTATATGAGCCAAACCCATCTTTCATTAATTTTTCATGCTGTTTTTGAAGGTTTTTCTTGGAGGAAAGCAAGTTAGGAAGAATATTGAGCATCCATGTCTGGGTCAGCACCAGGCAAAAACATTCTCAAAAAAGGTTCTATGAACCCCGGATGAAGAGAAATCTCCCCAGCTCCCTTTTACTAACCCCTGGGGAGCCGGACTAAATGCTTTTTGTTTGGTATTTCTAAAGAGATGCTTGACAGGGTGACACAAACTAAATATTTGGTGAAAGGTTGAAATGAAATGATGTTGGAACTTGGTTAAATAAGTTGGTTTTGACCAACTTTCACCAGTTATTTGATGGGTCCGTTAGTCAAATGCGGGAGTTCTTAGGCCAAAAACGTTTTGTTCCATGAGTAGGTTGTCCTACTATATCTATTTGCTGGAAACTAATTTCGGATTGTTAGAATATGCAATAGAAACACATCACAGGGATCATAATCCAAACCCCAGCTGATCCTGTTCGTTCATCATCTTCAGCCCTCCTTCCAGCTGTAAATAGCTAACATGCTTCCAGTTGTAATGTAGTTAGTTAGTTAGTTTTCTCTATAAATAGACAATTATGCTTTGTAATTTCTCTAAGTTGAATGAATGAAATGTTCATCTTCTTCCCTGCAACTTCTGTTTACTGAAAATAACTAAATGGTCCCAGTCAGCTCCACATCATCCATCTGCTTGCACCAGCTGGAGCAGCCATCAGCCCACTTGCATTGCTGTGATTTCGGTTTCTCATTAGCTTGTGGTCCTACACTAATTTGTTACAAAATATTCTTGACATGATCCTTGATTTTAGGAACTAATTCACAGCTGTACATATTCTAGATCCTTCCTTGTAAATCCTTTTTCATTATTTAATCTCCTTACCTTAGTAATGAAATAAGAAGTTGAATTGCAGCATCTATCTTACTCAAAATTTAACTTGGTATCAGAGCAAGAATGACAAACGCCAGCAACTTCAATGCGCATCAAAATGCTGATTCAATCCCTGTTCCAGCTTCAGCCTCCAGTAGCACCGCTACTCATCTGATATGCAACGGGAACACTACACCCTTTGGAGTGAATCTTACTCAAGTTATTTCTGTTAAGTTGGACAAAAATAACTACCTACTATGGAAGAATATGATCCTACATATCATAAGAGGACATAACCTTGAGAGCTATATCTTAGGGACAAAGATGTGTCCCCAAGAATTCGTTGGAAACCAGGTTGAAAGTGAGACTGGTATCAGCATTGAAATGATAAAGAATCCGGAATTTGGCCAATGGATGTTAATAGATCAGCTACTTATGGGCTGGCTTTTTTCATCCATGACCCCTGACATTGCAATGAGAGTCATGGGGGCAAAGAACTCAAAGCAGCTGTGGACAGCAATAGGGGAAAGCTTTGGAATACAGAACAAATAGAGAATCACCTTCCTTACTGGTGAACTACAAAAATAGAGGAAATGATCAATGAATATCGATCAGTATCTCAACAAGGTGAAACAATTGGCTGACAACCTTGAAATCGCTGGAAAAATAGTGGCTCATACTGACTTAGTCACTCAAGTCCCTGCTGGTTTAGACGAAGAGTATACTCCAATTGTGGTTTAGATTAATGGTAGAGATCACATATCCTGGGGAGAATTACAGTCGACACTTATGACATACGAGAGTAGACTTGAATATCTCAATTTGCTGAGAAGTGATGTAGCAGAAATTAATATCAACCAAGTCTCAACAAATTCTTTACAGAGGTCAGGCTCTAACTATCATGGTTCCAGGCCTTATAGACCAAGCTATGGTGGAAGATTCACCAACTTCAGAGGTGGGAGAAGAGGCAGAAACAGAGGTGGCTACCTGCATAGTGGAAATGAAAGACCACCAACTTGTCAAGTCTGTGGAAAAATTGGCCAGAAAGCTAATATATGTAACTTCAGGTATGATGATAGTTACACTGGAAATTCACCAAACCAGAGGACAGGCTTCAACACCCCACCTGCAGCCTATATCGCCTCTCCTAGCATCGTGAATGATCCTGCGTGGTATGCAGACACAGGAGCTAGTAGTCACATCACTGCAGACAAAGGAAACCTCACCTCTATCAATGAGTATGCTGGTAAGGAGAAAGTCATGGTGGGAGATGGAAGTAAGCTACGTATCTCTCACTTTGGCATCTCACGTATTCCAACTTTGAACAACAAGTTTTTAACCTTAAATAAACTTCTCTTTGTACCTGACATTAAGAAAAACCTTATCAGCATTTCTAAATTGACATCTGATAACAATGTTTACATGGAATTTCATCATGATTGCTGTTTTGTAAAGAACAAATCAACGAAGGCAGTGATAATGCAAGGGACACTTAGAGATAGGTTGTATCAGTTGGATTTCCCTCAGCAAACCACCAAGTATCTCAGTCAAAAGTCAGTCAGCCAAGAGTCAGTTTCCACCAATAAATCATCCTGCAACATGTCATCAGTTGTTTCCAGTTGTGAGTCCTCATCTGGTGTATGGCACAAGAGGCTTGGCCATCCTTCTAGCCAAGTGTTGAGTCTAGTACTTAATCTCTGTAACGTCAAAACTAAAGAAAATGAAATCAGTTCGTCTTGTAATGCTTGCCAGCTTGGAAAATCCCATCTATTGCCTTTCACTTTATCTTCTTCTCATGCAAAAGCTCCACTCGAATTGGTGTTTACTGATATATGGGGACAATCTCCTATTTTATCCACCTCAGGCTTCAAATATTATATATCATTCCTTAATGATTTCAGCAGATATACTTGGATTTACCCACTGAAACAAAAATTTGAAGCTCCTAACACATTCGTTCAGTTTAAGAAACTTGTTGAAAACAAACTAATTTGTAAGATTAAAACACTTCAAGCTGACTGGGGTGGAGAGTATCGAGTATTCTCAAAATTCTTGAACTAAGAAGGGATAGATTTTAGGCACCCTTGTCCTTACACCTCTGCTCAAAATGGAAGAGTCGAAAGGAAGCACAGACACATCACAGAAACTGGCTTAACACTTCTAGCTCAAGCCAAACTAACTCTAAAGTATTTGTGGGAAGCTTTTCAAATGGCAACCTATCTTATAAATAGGCTGCCAACACCTACACTTCATAAACAATCACCCTATAAAGCTCTATTCAACAAAAAGCTAGACTATCAGACCTTAAAGATATTTAGCTGTGCCTACTACCTGTGCCTAAGACCCTATCAAAGACAAAAGTTCGATTTTTACTCTACCAAATGCACCTTCTTAGGCTATAGTAAGTCTCACAAATGATATAAATGTCTGAGTAAAAATGGGAGACTATACATCTCTAGGCATGTGGTATTCAATAAATTAGATTTCCCATTCGAAACACTCACAGTTACCAAGAGTCATTCAGAACCAACAGAAGCAGAAATTACAACTTCCTATTTTCATTTTCCCCCTGATCATATAATGTCAATTCGAGATCCCACAGGTACTACTCAACTTGAAGCTGCTCAAACTGATTATCACTTGTCTTCAGATTTAAATGACAATCAGAGCAATGCTCTTGACATTACTGAAGAAACTGGTGAAATAGAACTTGAAGTACCAGGACAAAATATGTCACAAGCTGATGAGGGATCACTGGAACCAGAAAATGATGACAGCAGAATAACAGATCAACATAGAGCAGAAAATGTGATTGAACATCCAATGATTACCAGAGGAAACACTGGAATATTCAAGCCAAAAATTTATCTTGGAAAGCTAACAGAAAATTCACCAGATCCTAGGAGTGTAACTGAGGCCTTGATGAATGATGACTGGAAGAAGGCGATGAAGGAGGAATTTAATGCCTTGACAAAAGCAAAAACCTGGGAGCTTGTGCCTCCATTACCAACGTACAACATTGTTGGCAATAAATGGGTTTTTAAACTAAAACAAAACATAGATGGCTCAACACAAAGGTTCAAAACCAGTTTGTTAGCAAAGGGGTTTCATCAAACTCCAGGTATTGATTTCTATGAGACGTTTAGCCCTGTGATAAAACCATCAACACTCAGAATTATACTCACCCTGGCAGTAACAAAAGGGTGGGAAATCAGGCAGGTGGACATCAATAACGTATTTCTCAATGGATAGCTGAAAGAGACGGTGTTTATGGCTCAACCTGAAGGCTTCGTAGATGAGTCAAAACCTAGTCATGTCAGCAAGCTAAGCTAAGCACTCTATGGTTTGAAACAAGCACCAAGAGCCTGGAATGAGAAACTGAAAACTGCATTTTTGGGTTGGAAATTCAAGCAATCTGTGGCAGATACCTCACTTTTCTATCTCAAGAATGAAGATCAAATTATCTTTGCATTGATCTATGTGGATGACAATGTTATCACAGGCAATAACATAGCTCTGCTGTAGAATTTCATAGATAACCTGAACACTACTTTTGCCTTAAAGGACATGGGAAGGCTACATCATTTCCTTGGAATTGAGGTGTTGTGGCATGACTCTGGAATTCACCTTACACAAGCCAAATATATTGCTGATCTACTTGAAAGGTTTGAATTGCAAAATGTTAAACCTTGCATCACATCTATACCTGTAGGCAAAGCAATGTCAAAAGGCGATGGGGAAGCTCTGAAAAATCCTAAAACCTACAAAAGTGTTGTAGGAGGGCTGCAGTATCTTTTATATACCAGACCAGATATAACCTTCGCTGTCAATAAATTTAGCCAATTTCTGTAAGCCCCAACTTTATTTCACTGGCAAGCATTGAAAAGGGTACTGAGGTATCTTAAAGGGACAATAAACCATGGAC